CAGGGGGGGGGCGAGGGGCGCTCAAGGTGGGTGCAGGAGGGATGTGAGGAGGGGAGGAAGGCGCCTCTGTGATGCCTGTTGGGGTGTTCCCCGCTGAGCCCCCCCTGTCCCCTCCTCTGCATCTAGATGTGACCCCTGGTGATGCTGCGGGGCCTGTGGAGAGAGGACAAAGGCCACTGTCCCCGCAGAGACACATGCCCCCCACCCGGGGCGGGGTGGGCTCAGCTGTTGTCCCCACCAGGCGCTCGCATGGATGCGCCGGGTGCTGGGGTGCAGGCAGGAGGCAGCTGGGTGGGTTCCCCTCGTTCAGCACCTCCTTGCCCTGGGGACGGTCTGTCTGACCCCCCCGCTGCGCCCACGGGACCGGCTGGAGGAGCTGCTGCCGGTGGCAGAGGAGAGGTGGGAAGGAATTCATCTGCCCTGAAATTACAGCTCATGGTTAAGGGTGAAAGGAATTTCCATCTCCCCCAGCAAGGGATGACGGACACGTCCTGGTGATGCTCGGCCGTGACCTGCACACCCCCACCCCCCCGCAGCCCCACTCTGGGGCTCTGCAGACCTGTCCCCTCCTCTTGCGAGCACTCGGGTCCAGTCGCCAGGCAGCTCAAATCCCGGCCCAGGACCCGGAGGGGTCCCCACATGGGGACGATGCTGACCCCCACGATAGCAAAGGAGGGAGCTGTGGGGACGGTGGCTTCATCCGGGGGGGATGGAAATGGAGATGGGGGAGGAGAAGGTCTCCTGCTCCACCACTGGAGCAGCCCCTCAGTTTGTCCCCATGCATTCTGGTAGCCTCATCCCATAATAACTCTGGGATCAGTGTTAGTAATAACACTTGGGGCAAGATGAATTACATTCATCCTCCTTCCTGCTGCTGGTGGCTGGTCCTGCTTGCGTGAGACGGGCCGAGGGGGCTGGGACGTGAGGTTTGCATGTTGGCCTGATGCTTTCAGCCTCCCCCGGCACCAGGAGGACTCAAAGCTGGACCTCAGCTTCCGCTTTGTGCTCTTCCGTGTCCTCAATAACACCAAAGCTTCTTCAGGGAAAGATTTTTCTTTCTTAACCAGAGGACTTGTGCTGAGACTGGTAAACCGAGGCAGGGCACTCAAAAATCCCTCTCTCTCCTGCTGGGGCAAAAAACTGGCAGCAAAACACTCTGAAGAAATTTTCTTGAGGTGGATGCAGGGAGAGGATGCACTGAGCTGATGACACGAAGGGGTTCACTGCAGCCATGTCGAAACAGGCTTTCTTCCTTTGCTCCAGTGAGTTCTGATTTCATTTTTACAAGCAATAATTACTTTCAGCCTCCCAATAAAAACCAGCTTCGAAGCAGTCAGCCGGAGCTTTGCGCTTAGAAAATAGTGAAGTGGAACAACTCTGGCTGCTTCAAAATTCAGAAATGAGTGATGCAAAGCTTGACATCCCCTTCCCCGGCCCAGTTTCAATGATCTGATGTTTTCCAGGCACCTGTCAGCAGTGGGGGAGGACAGAGAGGGAAGGCAAAGCATCTGCGAGTGCTGGTACCCTGCTGGGGTGGGAGAACTTGCTTTCCAGAGGCATCTCTGTCCTTCCTGCTCCATCCCCTGCCAAGCCCACGGGTCCACAGCCCTGCAGCTCTGTTAAATCCTTCACTCTTCCAGCAGTTGCCTTAATGAAATAACCACTCCAAGTCCATCTGTGTGGCCTAAGCAGGACCAAGAGAGTTCTGAGTGGGGCCTTTGCCTTTGGTGGCCTCTCCATGCAAGGTTGCCGTGACTCTGGGGATGCTGCAATGCCCAGGGAAGGGTGATGGGATGCTCAGAGCATTTTGCCGTGGAACTGGAGGTGCCCACTTGTCCTGTTTCCTCCCATTCTTGCTCCTGAAGCTTTAACACTAAATAATAAAAAAGCAGTGGGGATCCAAGCTTGGATCATGATGGGATTTTAACTGATTAGACCTCGGTGTCACCTTCCTTTGCCGTGTTATTTTACACCCCGTGTCGCCTTTCAGGGCGAGCCGGGCAGTTAACCTTTGTGCCGAGCGGCGCCAGGGAGGAAGTTCATTAGAGCAAATGAATTTGTAGGATGGAAATGACGGATTAGCTCAGCTCAAAAAATAAAGTAGAGCTGGAGATAGCTGAAAGAATCATAGAATCACAGACTGGTTTGGCTTGGAAAGGACATTAAGGATCATCCAGTCCCACTCCCCTGCCCCATGCAGGGCCACCCACCACTAGCCCAGGTTGCCCAAAGCCCCGTCCAACCCGGCCTTGAACCCTTCCAGGGAGGGGGCAGCCACAGCT